CAGGAAAGGCAGGCTCTGAGCAGAAGATTGACTGGACAAACCTTGAATTTTCCCTCCTCAGATGAAATAAACCCCCAGGAGCACAATTGAGCACTTCATAGGTCAGACAGTGTTGCCATGGTGGGATGGGGTGGGGAGTTGTGCTTGAAGGGACAGCCGCAATCCCTTCATACTTCATAGCAAGCTGCCAGGCAAAGAATTTTGGGGGGTGTGCAGTAAGCCATTAACAACTATCCTTCTGGACAATGTGGGGTCTGGGGGACAATTTGTGGCAGGCTATGGATGTCACGGGTGTTCTGTTAGGAAAGGTCACATGAGCAGATTTGTATGAGGCTGGTACTGAGAGACAGTTTATACCTGCATAGTTATACACATGCGGGAACTCAGACTTGCATGAAAAGGTTCCATACACATGTCTATATAACTGCTCTCAGCCAGGGGCAGAAAGCATCTCACAACTCAGGTTAAAGCATAGTGACCTTTCTCTCAGTGACTCATTTTGGCCTCAATAATATTCAGTGGAGGCACTCCATGTCTTCTGGGCTGGAGCAGCAGCCACATACATTCCTAAGCCATGGCCCCAACTGGGCCCGGGGAGAACTGGCAGAGTTGATTGATATTTGGGGAGAACAAAAGGTTCTGGAGCAGCTGGAAATTTGATTAAATAATAGGGGTGTGCGAAACGGGCTGTGTTCAATTTGGATTCAGATTTGGCCTGAATCGGGGATAGTGATTTGATTAATTGATTCAGATCACTGTCCCTGATTCAATTCAGCTGAATTGAAAGATTTGATGCTGATTTGGAGAATCAATGATTCGGCCATAGACACATATTTAAATGTTTTTTCTACATACCTCAAGGTACCAGGCATGGCTTATGAATGCTGCAATGGTGGGGCAGATGGAGCATCCCACAGGAGTGCAGGGGGCCCTCCATACCCCCATGGCTCAGCAATTAGCTGTGGGGGGACCCTGGGTGCCCTCCCAGACCCAAGAGGCACCAGTCACCGAGCTGGGAGGGAGCGAACCCACCCGAAGTGCTTCTGGTCCACTTCTGGGTCTGTTGCCGAGCATGCTGGGGAGACCCCTGTGCTCCTTTTGGATGCTTCATCCACCCCACCATCGCAGCATTCATACCTTGAGTATGTAGAAAAAACATTTAAAGCTGTGTCTATATTTGAACTGTCAAATCTTTCTGAATCTCTCTGAATCAATTCAAAGAGTTTCTGATTCAATTCAGAGAGATTAAAGGGTCTCCTGATTCAATTCAGATTTGGAGATTCGGCCATCAAATCGGGTCAAATCTCCACCAATTCGAATCAGGAACCGAAGCTTTCTACAGCCCTATTAAATAAGCCAGTCTATGTGCCATTGCCCAGGAAATGAAGGTGTATGGCTACAACTGGGACTGTTCACAGTGTTGCAACAAGATGATGGCCCTGAAATGTGCTTTCCATAGGGCTAATGACCAAAATTCTCAATAAGGGGGCAGGACGTACAATAGCTGTCCTGCAGTCTCACAAAGGACACAGGCAATGCTTTCTTCTGGCCCTTGGGGATGACAGGGGTGCAGGAGGCCACAGTATCACCTACCCTGCAAGAGTCCATAGACTGTCCTGCCACTGCAGTGGGCAGTGCAATATGCACTGCACAGCCTTCAGGCAACCAGTCAGATGTGAGGGGTGCATGCTTGCAGCAGCTGGAGGATGGGAACAGCTGAAACAAAGTTGTCTTGACCATGACCCCACTCTCCCTGATGCCTTGCCCACATAACCCAGAGGAGAAGGACACATTGGCTCCATGATAGTAATGTCCCCAGAATTGTGGAATGGGCCAGAAATTCCAGAGGCCCAAAGATTGGTGTCAGTGCCAGAGATGCCTGTGGATCCATATCTGGGAACTTGTAAGTTATGGGGAAGGGGCTTAGATTGGTTTTCATGACTAAGGCTTATGTGGATCTAGCCCTGCTTTTGCACCAAGGCCAAGTGCATTGAGGTGGGAGGGAGGGTGTTAATTTTGTAAGCGGAAAATATGTCCATTGATTGTAGTTATGCAATGTTTTGCTTGCATGGAGGTGGGCTTGCTGTGCCCTCTCTTAAACTTGCTTGGAGGGAAGCATTAATTCATTTACTCACAGGAATTTGTGCTGCTGAGAGATGTACAATGAACTCCTTGGACTGGGGAGACATCTGGGTTCCTGCATAATCATCCTTTGTGGGTGGTTGTGTTAATTCATCAAATGGATGGTGATCACCAATAGTCCGTCCACTACAGGGGGTGGAGACAAGATCTTTGAACATGAATACCTTTTCTTTTTCCCATTGCTGTTCTCAGCTACCGCATCCGCTGGAAGGCAGGGATGTGCACCTGAAGCGCAGACACCAACACAGACCAGAGCTGAGCAAATGCATGAACACCACTGCAGGCAGCAACGGTCAAGAGAAAGCATGATGGAGGCTTTGGTGGCAGCCTCAGAATCATGAGTATGGTCCATGGATGAGTGGTGGGATGAACTCTGGGAGGTGTATAGAAAGGTGAGACTGAGAGGTAGCAACTCACTGAGACATCATGGCCAGCACAAGAGAATTCTTTGACTTGGCCAGACAGTGCTGTCAAAATATCAAGGAGAGCTGGTGAATGGAGGGCATGTTTAGAGAGGATCTCTTTAGATACACGACCCCAGCCCCTATTCATAAGCTGCCCCGCCCCCCCCACCCCGGACCACCCAAACAACATCCACTGTCCGTGCCCCTATCCATGGGCTGACCCTCATAGAGACCCCTATCTGTGATCAGCCCCCATTGTGACAACCTCACTGTGCCTGTGGGCCTCCCCTACTCTATCAGGCCAAAGAGAGCACCACTACAGTTCAAGGATGAAGGGAAGGGTGAGACAGAGGTGGCACTTGGGGGGAAGAAGAGCCTATGATAGATGATGGGGTTTTAGTTGTTACTGGTGTTGCTTCTATAGGAAATTGGGGAGTGGGAATTATGTTCCTGCATTATTTTGGTTCTGCTTCAGTTACTGACAATAAAATAAATGCTTTGTTGAAATTAAAATGAATTTTCATCCATGTCTGTCTGCTGTCCTGGAAAAAGTCATAGAGGCATGGGTTGTGGGGAAGAGGCAAGCCAAACCAAAGAAAACCAGGCTTGTTTCAGACACATTACACTAATGAAAGAGGACATGCCCACCTTTGGACTGAGCGGGGGTGGTGTTTTCCCAGAATGTGGATACTGTGGCATATGGTGGTGAGCAGTAATCCAGGGTGCTTCACAGCACCCATCATATTTCCTCTGAGGGCATGCAGATTCTCAGTGTTCCCCAGTCACCCCACGCAAGGGAGGATCTTGGGGAGGGGCAGGGAGTTTCAAGGCTTGGGCTTTTATTATTGTGACCAGAGAACGACACCATGGCCAAACCCAGGCTAGGTGCTAGTGGGCTGGCTTAGAATTTTGTTAATGCAGAAAGCAACAATTGGGTGGGTGCTGCACAGTGCACACAATATTTCCTCTAAACACACATAGCTTCTCAGGGATCAGGAGTTCAGCTGGTGATTGGGAGTGGAGGAGAACAAAGCAAATTCAAAACCAGGCAGGCAGGCTTGATTAACAGATAATTGCCACTATTGAAAGACACGCTTGCCCATTAGCAGCTTATGCAAGTCCCTCACCCTACAAGCCAGCACACCCCTTCCCCCCAACCTTCTACACTTCCCCTCGTACACACAGAGAATATGAAGTGAGGAATCAAACAAAACAAATAGAAACATTTATTTACAAACCAAATATTAACTATAATTAAACAAACTACAGAACAGGTTTTATAAGATAACAATCCATAATTACTACAACAGAGGAATTTCTTTTTACTACCGTAACAATGCATGATTCATGAAAAAAAATCAATCTAAGCAATAATCATTTCTAACTAAAAGATCTTGGCTCTAAGGTCCACTTTCCAAGCTTGACTGAGAATTGGTGGATGGCAGAGCATGGATCCATACCAGCCTGTCCCACTCCTGGGAAGGAGCAAGACCAGTCACCAGCAGGCATAGAAACATTTCAAGGAGCCCAGCCATTATTTGCCGATTCTCCTGGGTCTGGGAATGCCTCTTGGACTTGGAGTGATTCCTGTTGTGCTGGACAGTCATGAATCTGTCCATAGCCAGATGGATCTGTCTCACCATCTCATGCAGCCAATACTCACAGTCTCTGAGGACATTCACAAACCTGTCTGTGCATGCATTGGTGGCAGCCTTCCTTGGTACCCTGTGTGTCCTTGGTGGTGGCATTGCAAGCAGAGCTGAAAATAAAGAGATGCAGAAAATAGAGTGAATTAAGGATGCTCAGCAGTCTAAAAAGATGCACTCAGAGAACCTTGTGGGCGGATATGTGGTTGGCCCAAAATGGCTGAGAAGGGGTATCTGGCCACAGGCGGTAACAGGCCCTGAGTGGCTGCAAACAAGTGCCCACCCACTTGACCCACTGATGCACCTCTCTGCTGTGCATTGCTCTGTACCTCCCTACACTGCCTACTAACTCCCAGGGTCTTTAAAGCACTGTCCTATGCCACCCCTTCCCCCCCTTCACTTCATAGCCCAGCCTAATTGCCTCTGTCAGTTTAGGTGAAAGATGACTTAAAGGGTCCCCAGGGCTTCACATACCGGTTGTGGAGGTCAAGATCCATGGTCTATCCTCCTCAGAGGAAGTGGAAGGTGACATGACTGGGGACTCTGCCACTATCTTCTTCACTGAAGCCCCCACAAGTTGCAGCAGTAGTTGGCAATGTCTCAGCAGGCAAAGATGCCCTGGAGGCCTCTGTCCTTGTGCATTCACAGTGATCCAGTACCTCCATTAGCAGTTGGAGGTCTCTGTAATGAACCATGTCACACAGTGGGGTGCCCTACTGCTGTGCTCTGGTGACATCCCTGCAGAAAGCAACCCCGCCCCCCCGGCCTGCCAAGGGTGTCCTAAAACATTCATTACACACAAGTACCTGAAAATTGTAGTGACACGTGGTAGAAAAGTGATCTCACTACACAAAAATTGAAGTGATACCAGAGGGACAAAGGGGCTGTACATGTGACAGATTAATGGCTGCACCATTCCAAGTTGTATCATCATAAACTAAACTACAACGGGATGGGGATTAGTTTATGATGACACAAACTTATTTAAATTGGCAAAAACTTGCATACGTGTAAAGTGTGACACCATTAAGCTACACAACAGGGCAATTTTCATCACGTGGACAAGTGCTCTGAGTGAATGCAAACTGAACTACTATATTGCTGATGTATATAGGCCTGTTGATGCTTTACTTGGTTATGCTCCAGGATGTTATGAAAGATTGATGACATCATTGACAATGCACTTGCATGCTCTCTACTATTGACATTAACTTATAGTAGAGTCCTAGACTCTTATCTAGGTAGTTACTGCAGATTTACTGGCTTCTTTAACTTCTGACATTTCTTGCTTCAGGAAGCATTTGGGGGCAATCATGACAAGAGAAATGTCAGAAATGTGAATTTTATGAATCATTAAAAATGAAGTTCCTTAATTAAACATAAGCAATTTTTAAAATGAATGTTACTAATTCATAACACAAGCAAAAGGAAAGGTATTACTTGAGGTAATCTCACAATAGCTGTACGTGATCGTGGAATAATTTGTTTAATGGAGGTGGGAATACGAAAAGAAAAAATAATGATGGCTTTCATTCACCATTGATATGCTGGTTTTTCAGAGGGGTTACTCTGGAAACATTTGATAGTCAGTTCCCTGCTCATGGTAGCCTGAGCAGTGAGAACACTGGTACAAGTGGTGGTATAACCAGGTGGCTAATGAAGTCAGACAGCCCACAAGCAGTAAAAATCTCAAAGCAGAATCTTCTAAAAGGCTGGCAATGAAGTTCCTAGATCCTTCATAAATTGGAGCTCCTCCTAGTAGAGATAAGAGTACTACAGACTGGCCACCACTCAACCCTGCATTTATAGCCACCTCATATCTCTGTCACAGCTACAGTAGTTGCTTACTAATAGTAAATTAAGAGACTCGTATTTCAGCCATCTTTAAAGCCTTGTGTTTTGTCTTAAAAAAGTGAATCATCCCATCTCCCTTTGTTCCTTCTGTATCTTCCCATCATACCTATTCTGTTTCTCTCAGCTTGAAAGAAGGAGTCATCACAAAGAAACCAGTCATCTCTGTGGAAAGCAGCAGTGCTCTATGTGCCACTACCTGAGAAATGTTGAAGTACAAGGCAGGACTTAGTGCCCCACTACAATGCAACAGGCAGCATGTTAGAGAAAACTTACACTTACAAAAATACCTAAGAAATAAAAACATGAAACTTAGAGTATTTGACTAGTGTTGTGACCTAAACTGAATATGTACATATGTGAAAAGCATAAGGTTACAAGTGCACTGGAACAGAAGGCAGTATTCCCATAAGAGCTAACCATAATGCAATTTCTTGGGATCCATTCAATTTAAGAGACCACAAGGAAAGATTGCATATACACCTGAAGAGAGAAGGTCCACATGGGTTGGAAAATAGCCAGAGTCCAACTCCTCATGTGCAACAGTTGTCACATTAAGACTATTATTGAATGCAAGGGGAGGACCTTTCACACATAGATGCCAAGATTCACTGGGGAATTTGCTTCCTTTGTCATTCCTGGAGGCATTACACTTCCATAGGCTAATCAGGCATAATATGATGCAAACATATAACAAACCCATTTTCTCTTTACTTCCATCCTGTCACTCCACTAGTTCTAACAGCCACAATTTAACTTACGTACTAAACATTATGGTTACAGATATAGAAGACTCTCTGTCTGAAAAAGTAGACTATAGCCTGACCCCCAAAAGGCCCATTCACCAACCACAGCTCTATACAATTGTGCCCCCGCATCAACAAAAGTAAATAATTTGGGTTAGCCATATTTTGATGGCTAACCCACATTAGTTTTTGATCTTCAGCTTAAAAGGTTGCAGTGCAATGTGAGGCATACGAATCCAGGCAGATGTGCCTAATTTTAAATGAGCAATGAATATTTCCCAAATTGATTTCCATTAGAAACTGTTTGCATTAGAAATACGACTCTCTGGAAGCACCATGACATGTTTGAATTGCCAGAGGAAATGTATAACCCTTCCCTCTACAGAGTGTGGAGGTTGCTGTACAAGGACATCTATTGATAAATACTTCTACATCATACAAAATGTACTCACTTTCAACACATGAACTCCAGACCTTTTAGTATCACAGGGAAATTGCATGGTTCCTTTGCTTTTTACTGTAAGTGTAATTTAAGCATCACTTTGTCTCTGGAAACCTCCACAGAAGAGTAAAATAGTGATTACTTTCTTTAAAGTGAAGGTTGAAATGTGGGAATAAGGGACAGTAATGTTCAGAATTTATTTAATTATTTATAGGAGGTCATGATCGTTCTAATCTTTTTCAGAAGTTTATTGCTTCAAATTCAAAGTGCTTTAGTCAGTTCATAGAATTTTATGGAGAGACAGATGCCCTACAAAAGACCATTTAGCTGATACTGTAGCCTTCTCAGTATAACATATTTTTCCTTATATAGCCTGCTGCCTTTTATCCTAAATGCTCCAAGATATTTTATGGGCTGAGACTCCAGTTTTCCAACAAGATGACACATATAGACCTACCAGATCCCCATTTGGCAATTTGCCTCAACACAAAACCAGGCATAACAGGCTGAGAGAATATATTTGGATGTGTGAATGGAGACGGGTGTGTCACATGAAGAGAAGGGTCAAAATTCCTTTAAGTCCTGCTTTGTTCAAGCTATGAATGGACAGTTGTAAGCAGGTTGTCTATCCTTCTGGCTTTTGCAAGCAGATTTTGTTCCAGGAGAAACAAAAGTACCTAGCCAGTTCTCCTAAATAAAACCCAGTCTTCAAGAAACAGATAAGTGACCATATAAGCAAACACCAAACCCTTCTGTCCTGTTCTGGGCACTAGCCCCCAAAAGCAGTCTGGGTCCTCCTTCTAGCAAACTTTTCTGCTCACAGCTTGCTTCCTCCTCTCCTGCTTATTCTTCCAGGACCTTTTTAAAGCAAGTCACTCCTAGCCTATCTAAAGGCCCTGTAGATGGGCTCTCTCAACAGGGCTGACTTCTTCCTCTTAAAGGAACAGACTATGCTGTTATAAGGATAAAGTGACATCATCCAAACTAGGGGCCAAATGCAGGAGCTCAGGTGCATAACTTGCCTATACTCATTGGAAAGTGGGGAGGCATTTTTTTTTCAGATGGGGTCCTGTCTCACCTCAGATCAGCCATATCTCTGCTACTACCAGTGTTGGTAGACTCAGGATGATATCAGGTGCTAGAATCCTGCTGCTTGATCTGGTTAAAGTTTTGCTGACTCATTGCATAAGATAAGAAAAAGTGCAAAATTATTATTACATGTTTAGGAGAAGAGGTGATTTGATGGAAAATGTTTTTTTCTTAAAAAAATACTGTTATGAATACTTGATGATGTACTTTACTATAGTAACACACAATGAAAGAGATGTCTGAAGGATGTTAAGCTCATATATAACACAGCAGTGTTTATATATATATGAAGGGTATTCTGTCTAGTTTCATAGATTCATAAACATTAGGACTGGAAGGAACCTCACAAGATCATTGGGTCCAGCCCCCTGCCCAAAGGGCAGGAAGTCAGCTGGGGTCAAATGATCCCAGCAAGATAAGCATCCAAGTGTGTTTTAAAGGTGTTCAGAGTAGGTGCTTGTACCACTTCTGGGGGGAGTCTATTCCGGACTCTGGGGACTCGGACGGTAAATAAGTTTTTTCTTATGTCCAGCTTAAAACTGTCTTCCTGGAGTTTGTGACCATTAGACCTTGTCTTCCCTTGGGGTGCCCTGGTGAACAGACCCCTAGTATACTTAGTTCCTGGTGCACACCCCTAGTATACTTATACGCCACCACCAAGTCTCCCCTGACTCTTCACTTTTCCAGGCTGAAGAGTCCCATGTCTCTCAGCCTTTCCTCATAAGACTTGTTCTCTTGTCCTAAGATCATGTGCGTGGCTCTCCTCTGGACCTTCCCAAGCTTCTCCACATCCTTCCTAAAGTGTGGAGCCCAGAACTGGATTCAGTACTCCAGCTGTGGCCTCACCAAGGCCAAGTACAGCAGGAGGATGGCTTCCTGGGTCTTGCTTGAGATGTAGTGATAGATACAAACCAGGATTTTGTTTGTTTTGCTGGCTGTAGCATCGCATTGGTGGCTCATGTTCATCTTGTGGTCAGTCATGACC